ATATACTTATTTAGAAGAACTTCACTTTCTCATACGATCTCAAGTTCATTATTACTTCCATATAATATATACAACCTTCGATATTTTCTTCTTTTTATTTTGTAACAATCTTGTAATACTTGTAAGATATTGAATACGAGAATCATTCCTTAAATCACGATTAGTTACTGTCAAAAGATATCGATCATAACTTTTTCGTTGATACTATGTTATTGTTAGCATTCGACTGAAAAACTTTGAAACAGTCCAAACAGATAGAAACTGGAAGATTTTCATTGGTTGTTTTTTAACTAAATAAGCATGATGAGGATAGATTGTAATAAATTCATAGGGTTCATAATATTTTTGACTATTATCATTTTTATATTGTTGGCCAAAACAGAAATGATGAGTTAGAGATCTTCTTTATTAATCATTCATGCACCATTAATAAAAATACAATAAATACTTCAAGAAAAGAATGCCATTGAACAAGTTTTGAATTATTAAATAAATTACGACTGAATGAGAAATTGAATAAGGAAAAAATTGTTCCCCTTTTAGTTTATAATTGAATAGTTGTTAGCTGTTTATTGAATATTCATTTTTACTATTTTAATTTCGATAAAAAAGACTCTAAAAGGTCCTGCTGGATTTAGTGATTCATCTTAAACCCATATACTATATATGTGATGTCACGGAGCAATTTTTTAGGGCACATCAAATGCTTTATAAGAAAACAGGTTTTCCTCAAATATTGATTTGCCGAGAGTTCATTTACTGTGTCCTTATAATCTTTGAGGAATATAGAGAATACTCAGAAATTATAGTGCTCCATAATATGTTATAAAGCTATTCGATACACTTATATATACTCTTTAATTTTCTATATTAACAGTTTTCACCGTTACTTTCTTCATATGTGAAAACGGTCTCTTTTTAAAAGAATGAAACTGAATTTATTTCACGAAATTGTTGTTCAGTTTGAAGTGTTCGAGCATCTTACTGGAATAAATATTTCAAATTTTGAAAAGATAGGGAACGATTTTCACTGGGAATGTGAGCTTTCTCTTCATCTTCACCGATATAGCCATACTCATACGCACACAACTTGACCCCATATTTGCGCCTACACCCAGAAATTCTCTCATTATTTTTGATAAATGATAAATAAAAATATGTAGTTCTTTGCAATAAAGTTTTATTGTATGAAATCTGGAAGTTTCAACCTTTTTTTTAAACCAAATCATGTTAATAAGAAATAAAAAAACAGAAAAACAAACAACTACTTATATCAGCATGAGCTTGAAGACCATAGTATGTATTCGTTTCATTGTGTACCCATTGAATAGCATCCAGTAAGAATACAATAATATAACATACATAATAAATCATCAAGATCACGATAATATCTTCAAAATATATATGTAACTAAAAAATATAAAAAGTTCTCAAGTTTTATTTTCTGATACAAAATAATAACAATGTATGCAATAAATTGGAACCTGAGATTAAAACAATATCAAATGATAAATAAAAAATGAAAATATGCAGCATCTTTCAATACAGTTTTATTTTTATGAAAATTTATTTTTGGAAATTAATCGGTGTTATTTATTGATTACATAATGATACGAAAGAATAATATGGTTTTTAGGTTCATGTTAACACAAAAAGTTTGTTTATTTTTTTCTTTTTAACATGATTAGATTGATAATAGTTGTGTAAGGTCGGAAATTTCGGATTTCATAGAATAAAACTGTATTGCAAGATACTGTATATTTTTATTTATTATGTATCATTTGATATTGCTTTAATCTCACGATTCAAATTATTTCATACATCACTGTGGTTTGTCCCAGATGTAGTCTGTTTTGCATGTTACAGAAATCTCATGTAGTTTCTAAGCTTTCTTGAATGCTAAGATAGACTCGAAGCAGTGATGGAATTGGTTCGGTTAGATGCTTCTGAAACCGATCTTGATTTCAGTTTGGATTAAATTTTGAAAAATCTGAACCAATCCCATCGCTGTCTCGAAGTCTTCTGAAGGCTTATGGAGTTCGAAGGAATCTTTTAGTTTGCTGAAGTCTCAAGTCTCTTGAAGTCTTCTATTTCTTCCTATTTTTTTTCTTTCCTTCCTGAATGAAAGGATGGTCTTCAAACGATAGATCTTTACCGTCTTCACGGAAATTGCCAATTGTGTATATACACACATCATTCGATAGAGAATTTAATTGTCACAAGTCTGAATCTTTCAAAAATATTATCGGCTTAATCTTCCCTCTAAAAATCTAAATTAATGAAAGACTCTTACAAGAACTTGATTGCAAACATTCCCACACAATAGAAGCTCATTGAGTGTTTAATTTGTTTTGCAAGTCGAGAGTTTGAAGGTGAGCTTCTATTACGAGCAGTTCTTTTGTGTTGTGACTACACTTTCATTAGTTTACAGGTATAGAGATGTTCAACAATTGATATATCGAAATTTTCAAGTTGTGTGACCAGTTTCAAAATACATATAATAGTTTCCACGAAATGAGAGATTGACTGTCAGTTCTGTCCCGATCCCTTACTACTCAGCAAACAAAGTAATGAGTTCTTTATATTTCTTTTCACATCTACATACTCATCTGTCGCTGAGCGTCGGCGGATCCTGACAAGAATATGAACAGTTTTGGTTAATACAATATTTTTGCTAAGAATTTACTGAGGTTTGGGAAACTTAGAAAAAATATCTTATTAAGCATGTACCCAAGAGGTGAATAGCGGAATCCTGAAATCCGTCGGAATCCAATAAAACTTTGAAGCCTTAAATTCTTTGATGTATTGCTATTGTAAAAAAAAACTGCTACAACATATGAACAATTTACGGAATATTTCTAATAACATTTTTCATAATTCTTTCATTTAAAAGCTTATGCTTTCAATCTTGGCACGGCACGTTTATCTCATTTAATGTGCATTTCGGATTATGAATAGTAAATATATAATAGACTAGAATATAGCTCATAAGGATCAAAAGAAGTCAATAAAGTGTTGAAAATAAAAAATTAAAAAGATGTCTCGATAATAATAGGAGAATTGGCGATAATGCCACTGTTGCTTGGGAAAAGTTTCATGCATATAAAAAAAGTAAAAAGAAAATATCTTCAATCTATGTTCTGAAATAAGAAGCTTATCACTTGCAGATAAACATTGCTAAGGCACATATTCGAAAACAAAGAGATGAATGTAATGTGGACCAGAGATGGGATTGGTTCAAGTTTTTCACAATTTAAACCGAACCGAACTGAACCGATAAAGTCAGCAGAACGAACTGACTGAAGCGGAGATCGTTGAGAAGTATGGATGCACCGATTCCTAAACCATGATATTAAAGATGGTACCTTTTCGTTATTAAGAATGTAGTAGCCTTTGAATTTTTTATATGAAATATAATAAATTTTTTGCTCTAGCCAAGTCTGCAGCCGAAATTCATGAAACATAAATCAAAGGTTTCAGAATTAGTCTGGAATTGTTCGCAAGTTCGCACTTTTTAGTTTTTTTTGACCAATTCCAATCAATTCTAATTGATTTTGAGACCTGCATTTTGTACTAGACAAACTCTCAGAATAGATTTGGAAAGAGTGTTCAAAAATTTGAACACGATTGACATGAAGAATCATTAGGAATCCGATAATTCTCAATACTGAACATGTGTGTTTTTGCAAGTAAGGATAAACCAATTCCTACCAATTCGTTGAATTTCTAACCAGAGTTTAAAATATGTCCAGTATTAAGATTTGTCGGAATTCTAGTGATTTTTCATATCAGTTGCGTTCAGACTTTTAAACAATCATTCCAAATAAATTTTAAGAGTTTGTCTAATACAAAATACAGGTCTCAAAGCAATTACAATGGATCGATATTGGTCGAAAAAACTAAAAAGTACGAATTCATGACCAATTGCAGACTTATTGTAAAACCTTTGTTTCATGATTCATGAGTTTCGATTGCAGCTTCGGATAAAGCAAAATACTTTATTATGCTTGATATAAAAAATTCACAGGCAGTTACGTTCTTAATAACGAAAAAAATGTCATCTTTAATATCATGTTCTAGGAATTGGCGTATCCCAAGATTGAAAAGCTTCGAATCGAACCGAACCAAACCGATTCCATCTCTGATGTGGACATGATTTTTGTTTGCATCCACCTACACATACCCATAGTCGCCTCCTTATTACAAACTAAAAATTAATAATTTCATTAAATATTTACAGGAATAATCAGCCTCACGGTTATTAATGCAATGCAAATCACGGCATTTATGGGGTCCTTCGTGAGTTTACTTACTTACTTTCTTGCTTTCTTTATATCTTGACGTACGAATCTCATGCTGTCTTTTTTCTGCTGCGATGATCTCGAAAACGAAAAGTCAGAAAATTTTCGTTGAAACATATACCATAAGTGTCGAGATCGAAGTAGTACTTTTTTTAAAATTATCTCCTCTAGCACTTCTCAATACCAGTACACCAATTAGATGGATATTAGTATCAAAGAACTTCAAATCTTAGTCTTTAATAAAGAAACTCATTGATGCTACTATGTGCTGAAAGGTCTGTTAGAATAAATTGATCTGAATTATTGATAGATTGATGAAGAAACAGGCTCAGTCGCTGCAGTTGGTGCGAAGATAAAATGAACCTAAGAACCACAACTCACCTAAATACAATTAGCGAGTCATCGACATGTACATATATCGATGCTCATGAACTAAGAAAAAAAGGAAAACAAGATACCACCATGCAAAGCTGTTGTGACACTGATGACTACTCTTTATGGCCTGTTAGGCGCTTACTAGGAATCCTAGGGGATTTTGCGGAATCTGAGGGAATTCTGGAGTCAAGGGTAATCTATAGGAATTACTATATAAGATAAGAAAGGAAAACAGGAATATTTAATTCAAATGAACCCGATACAAAAAAATTAATAGATATAAATAATGAGTTTACCTTTATATGATAAAATAAATGTTCTGTTTTAAATTGAATCATATTTTCTTTTCCATTGTTCCCATTTTTCATCAGCTTGTTTTTTTGCTGCTGCTGCTTGTGCTTGAAGTTCAGTCGCTTTTGCTTGAAGTTCAGTCGCTTTTGCTTGAAGTTCAGTCGCTTTTGATTGAATAATGGCCAGATCTAAAAGATAGAAAAACAATTTACTTGTAAATTGAAATTTGTAGAAAATCGATTTTACCATCAAGATCTTTTTTTTTTTCTTCAGAACGAAGAGAATCAACTTCAAGAGCAAGTTGATCTTCAAATTCCTTGTTAGTGTCCACATATAATTTTCCCACCTTGATTGCCAATTCATCATCAACATTCGATATACTCGTCATTGTTCGTCTACAAAAAATTGTAATTTCACTGATTACTTTTTTAGTAAAGCCAACAGAATGCTGAAGTAAAATGAAACATTATATAGTACGTTTTGATTTCCACTAGCAATATCAAAATAATTATTATGACTACTTCCGAAGTATTCAACGCGAATTGCTCCTCACTTTCTCAAAAGTATTGTTTCTAAACTAAATAAAATACTAAAACTATTATTACTTGTACACTTCATTTTTTTTTGGTTCATACAATGTATCAAATTTCACAAAATTCAATGGCCCTGAATAAAAATCCGATCTAGAAAAAATGAAGGCACATATAAAATTCTATCGATAGTTGACAACATATTTTAAAATAAAAATTGCCAAGAAAAATATGCAAACATTCAATAATCTTGTGTTAGATTAGTGGTCCGAGCAAGATAATAACTATAGACTTTAGAATCCCGATAGAGTGTTGTGTCGAAAAACATTATTCGTCCATTTATATAAGGTCATTCTATTTTCGCCACTATAATTGAGTGAAATAGATTAGAGAGTTGAGTTTTATATCATTATGCAATAAATCATATCTAGTTTATACACCACTACTTCTAGCAATGTCTTCCTTGTTTTTCTATCTTATAAAGAACATGACTGGATTATGCTAAGTTTCCATAACGAACAATTTGTTAACCCAATATCGAAGAATTATCTATTGTCAACAAATAATTAGCAATAGCGAGATATTTTGATTTTATTCAATGCTCAACATCTTATTGAATAAATTTCGGGTCAAATAATTTGATAAAGTTAATTGAAAAATGACACTTCTGTGAAAGGTCACTTTCAAATCTACACATTCTGATGCATCGAAAAGAGCAGCTTCTTTGTTCCAAGCTAAGTAGGATAGAAACGAAAATTGAAACTTAATTACTGTTGACGATAAAAATATTGTTTTTTAATAACATTTAAGCAAGATTGAATTTACAAAAAGCTGGAAAACTAGCAAATGGCATTCTGTTTTGAATGTCAATCTCACTGAAATAACTTGCTTCAGAAATGAATGATAAAGCAAAATCAAAACCAATGTTATAATTGGATAGAGCTAGGCTTCATAGCAGTCCTTAACGAATATATAGGAAAATATAGGATTGTATAAAGAAATTTTTTATAGAATTTTCTTAAAAATATAAGACAAATATACGATAAAATATTTCAGGAAAAACACCTTTCGATGATATTCGGAAAAAAAACTGCAATGACGCACAAATCATGCAGAATCTGCGTCTCATATTATAAGATAAATTGCAAATGAAATTAGTCAAAATCAAAGGATAAAACATTTTTACCAGAATGTGAAAACTGAATGATGGCTTCTGTTCGATTCATTGACAGAACCTTACTAACACCTATATTAAAATAGTTATAGAGTAAATGTAAAATAAGAAACTTAAAGAAGCAGAAAAATATTTCCTTGTTTTTCTTTTCGACTCGAGTTTTGTTTTTGATTATTTCTTAATTTTTTTTAAACATTCAAAGAAAAAAATTATTATTTACGTCAGGTATAAATACTTGTTTTCGCTACAAATGTTGTTGTAAAATTGATCACAATCAGTAACTGATTCAAAAACCAGAAAAGAAAAGCCGAATTGTCGTCCAAGATTATCAGTTGGAACGTTGACCTCTTGAATACAATATTGATCAAAAGATTTCTTGATCTCTTCAATTGTTAGCCATTTAGGTATATTCGAAATTAACAGTGTGCGCTGTAGTGAAAGAAATTTTAGATGAAAACATCAGATATAAATAATACTCACACCAGTAATACCATGAATTTTTAACAACTCGTCATCCTTTCCGGTGGCTTTGATACTATGTGATGATGATGATGATAATGATGATTGATGAGATGACCTATAAAGAGAAATTATTCATGAAATGCAAAGAAAAAAAAACAACGACTGCAATATCGGCTTTTTCTCATTCACTCCTACTGGTAAACATCCACATATGACTCATATTTTTTTTTCTTTTTTTCTGTTTCTTTTTGTTGATACTACGAGATTGATGAAGCGATTGATAAAGTTGCTTTTTTTGCAAGAAATGTAAGCTGCAATATAAACAAAAAAAAAAGAATATATGCATGCATTCATTTTGATGGCTAAGATTTGTAATACACTTGCTCCAATGAAAATTCTTGTTTTGAATTTATGTACCCTCTCCATAATAGATGTCGCAGAGTTCTGTGTACTGGAATACTGTGCAAATTAATATAGAAATGAATGCAAATGAAGAGAAGAACTGCACCTACACTAAGAATCATTCTGGATTTTCGAACACTCAAATATTTATTTGAATTAGAGGCTAAAATACTTCGAAATTGGCAACAATTTCATGAACTTAATTCAGGTCATGATTGTTTTATAATTCTATTACCAATTGAATTTTCATCCGAAAATATTTAGTAGTGCTTATTAGATTGATTTTTTATTTTATTTGAGCAATGATCAACATATGCAGACAGACTTTCAATACAAAAACAAGAGCTTGATTCAGTTAAATAAATATTTATCGAAAAACAAGATGATCTTGGAAAACTTCGATTAGATTTAGACTTAACAACGACAAAATGAATTGAATTTCAGTAACAACAAGTATGATTAATGCAAATAAATAGGTCTCTTCATAATGATAAAGCGAGGGAGAAGCAACTGAGACTTTGGTTTTGAAGTTCAATGAAGTCCTGAAGTCTTGTGAAGTCTCTTGAAGTCTCATGAAGTCCTCTGGAATTTTTGACGTACCTTTAGTGCATGGAAAATTCATAAGAAAACCAATGAAATAGTCTCGCTTTTGTTGATCTTATTTCAGCAAAAATGTGAACTTTTATTGTTTTTTCAATCTGCTCGAAAATTCCGAGCTTGTTTGAACTTAAACTCCCTAAAAAAAAGTCACTTTTTATCAGAATGGTCGAAATTAAGACAAATGCATAGGAAGATAGCTCGTGATCTGATCTTTCATAAACAACAAAAATTTTTACTCGGTATCTCGTTTTTTTTCCAAAAAATGTTGAAGATTTCTGTCGTCTCCTATTCGAAAAAAAAGCTATTTTCAGAAAAAACAGAAAATCTACTTCGTTTTTTCTCCGTTTATAGTTTCTTAGTCGCGCAAACCAAATTTCTCTCTTGATATTCGTTCGATGTATTTTTAAGTCTTTGATCTTTCAATCACTTATTTTCCTTGAAAAGTCAGAATTACAAAGACAGGACTCTGTATTACACTGCATCTTGACATGTTCTTTGAAACAAAAAAAAATTAATTATGTAGAATGAACCTTGACAGAGAAATTTGATTTGCCAAATGAGCTATTTTTGACTCTTGTTTGGTCAGGATCTCCCTCAAACATCATGATATCGGGCTGAAAATTGTACCATAGCTTCTCCACTACAGTCCCAATATATCCTGAAAATTTCATGCAACTTGAATGTTCCTAGGCTGAGATCGATTTTTGAGGGAGGGGGCCTTAAAAAACAATCGTAGTTTGTAGTTCAATTCTTTTCAATGAAGTTGTTTACTTCTATAAGAAATACTCTATCAATTCAATATCAATGTTATGAAGACATTTAATCCTGCTTGTTTGATTCTATCACTCATGTGAGTCTATCAGCCGATAAACGGCTTACTTTATCGGTCAATAACCAACATGTCGTTTGCTTATGTATAACTTTAGCTTGCGTAACTTTCTTTACGATAGCTTCAAAAGATAGGGAATTTGTTGTACCTGTAAAAAAGCTGCTCTTAATAGGAACATTTAGTGTAGAGTCATTGTTTACATTTAATAGGATCACCTTAACATGTTCCAACGTTAAATATATCGTAAAGAAGATTTTCAAAAGGAACAGAAATTCTTTTTTTATATTCGTCTAATTGATAGTGTTTTGCATGGTACAGAAATTCGATGCAATTTCTGTGGTTTCCAGAACGCTCATGTAGTCTTGCAGTCACGTGAAGTCTGATGAAGTTCCATGAAGTTACCTGAAATCTTCTGAAGTCTTCGGTAGTCTTTCGAAGTCCGCTGTTTTCTCCTCGCAATATCGTGATGATTTACTTATTTCATGTTTACAATTTATTATATCATTATCATCAGAATGTATTGGTTATCATTTTGCTGATTATGTACCAGCAATCCAAGCAAAATCTTTCAGTAAATAACAGAAGGATAATGATTTTTAATATTTCAGCCTGCTTCAAGTATTGGTTTAACTTATTTACCATTAGCAGAACAAACGATTCATCATTTGAAACGATGGTCACAATTAACGACATTAAAGGAGTATGGCGGATAAGGCCGTTTTGCAGCCCCCTCTTCCTCCGTCCTTAGAATTGATTTATTTCTATCAGCCTGTCTGGCTAAAAAAGGCCATGCTTGGCCAAAGTTGAGCTAAATATTTCTTAAGTGGAAGACGACCAACCTTCTTCATTCAAAACTTTTTTAAAGATTTTCGTATATTCTCTATCGATAGATGTGACCTATTTTCTTTAAAGAAGAGAATAGATAGTAGTTGCCAGCCAAAATTAATCATGTTTTTGTGCAAAAATGATGAAAAAAGAGTCTTATTGTCTTTCATCATATTTTCAACACTACTTTATTATTTAAAAAACTGAAAATCATAGTGTTATCATCGAAGATGGAACTAATGTTTGACATCGATGGATTACCTTTTATTGTTGTTAAAGCTATAAAATAATGAGCATTTTTAGGAAGCTCAAAAAAGAACTCAATGAGTGCGTTACTGTAATGTTTTGGTGATAACTGTGTGTAGGAAAAAGCTTCCAAAAAAAACTTTTCACCAGTGTAAGATCTGTTGTCTTAACCTCAAACACAAATAAAAATATTTTGTTCGGAGCGAGAAAATTTTTAGTGATGTGAGCTTTTTTGGATCGTTCTGATGGAAGGAGTCTTTTTGAATGAGTGCGTTACCACAACTTTCTATCCTTCTAGAATCGTTATAGTTCTACTAAAT